CACACTCCTCCCCCTAAACTACAAACATAAACTCATAATACTTCACAAAAATCTAGTGGGACAAACTACAGAAACTTGACCAGCTCTTCTATAAACACTTAAAAACAACTGCAAAAGCTTTGAGTGTACAGGGAGGTGAGGGGGCAGAGAGAGGTATCAATATTTAATCCACTGCTAAAAGTGTAGCATCAAAGCTGCATCAGGGTGGCATAATGTTGCAGCTGGTTCCATTTTCATGTTCTTACATTAAGAAACCAGCTTTTCCTTTTGCATTATGTATTAAATAGTACATATTTTAGAATCTCAGAAAATCATCTCTAAGCCTTGCTAAGCCTTTATAATTGAAAAAATTGCATTTAGCATTTTAGCAGCTAGACGTGCATGAAACGCCATATTCAAGGGCAGAGCTAATGTTAATTTCTCTATAGTCTCCTGTGATCTATGGACCTTCTCAAACTCACCACATCTGCAAAACAGAGCCATCAATGTAGTTCACATCCTAACTTAAAGCACACTTGCATTCTCCGTGTTTGAGCAAGGGAAGTCCAGGCTTTCTATCCACTCAGATTCCTTTCCTGTGAAAATTGCCACCATGTGGTGACTGGCCTATATACTGGATTCTGCCCTGAATACCTGCCTGCCTGGAGGAGCACTGAGAAACCAAGGAGCTGTGTTGGAAAACACAGAAATAAATGCACTTCTCACAAGCCTGGCTGTGAAAATCTGGGTTTGCAGGTTGCCCCAGAGAGGAGCTGTGTTTTCCCAGCTCCAGAGAGCAGCCTGGGGATGGTCAGTGCTGTGTGAGCTTCCCAGTTAAACCCAGACCCCGGACACGGCCCATGGCCGGTCCCTAACACCAGGCAGGCACACGTTGGCAGTGCCAGCACAGAGCAGCCTCACCCCGGGCACAGGCAGAGCTGCAGCAACAGAAATTGGACATATTGTTAACAGAATACATTTTTGGCAACCAAAGAGCAATTACCATCTGAATCCTTAATCATCTCGAGCATCCCCACAGTGGAGAGCTGGGTACCAGGCTGGGCAGAGGCAGGGCTGATGTGGAGCTGGGACTGCAGCTCTGGCACAGCCCTGCCAAGGGGCACCAGCCCATCCTGCTCCTGCTCCAGCCAACCCTAACAACCCTAAAAAGGAGAGGGGAAAATATCTTTTTTTACACCACATCCAGAGCAGAACAGCGCAACGCATTCCTGCAGCACCACTGAAGGCACTGGAAACTGGGTTTAGTCTACACTAACACTCTGCACACAGAAATTCACCCCACAGACCATCTCTCAAAGTAACTCCTCACGTTTCCACAGCAGAATCGCACAATGTTTGTTTTAACTCGCTGGCTCTGGAGCTGCCCAGGCTGCCTGGCATCCACGGCTGAGGCAGCAGATGTTTACTCACACTGTGCCCGCATTGTGGCTGCGGCACCAGGCACCCGTGCTGCCCGGCCAGGCCGGGCACTGCCCGCTCCCCGAGGGACCCCAGCCCCACAAAGGGAGCCTTTCAGGCAGCACAGCTCCCTAAGGGGTTTTGATAACAGCACAGACACCCGCTGTATTCTTCTTCACTGCCCGACCTATTGCACAGCTCATGCTAAACAGATCTGGATGCATAAAATCATCCCGAGCACTGCGTTTAAAGACATTATCTCCCTCAGCACAGGATCCCTCCAACACCTCTCCTGTATTGATTAAATGACCAACGCAGCAAGGATTTACAAGTCCACTATAATAGAAACCATCTCCTCCAGCATCTGCTCATCAGTTCTTTGTGCTCCTTTATCCCCTCCACGCTTTAAGTGGTTTTCCATTTTTTAATAAAATACATTTCTGGTCACACCATGAAGAGCATCACCAGAATGTAGGAGCGCCGAAAACACTGAGAACAATATTCTTCCACTCAGTATTTCTGAACAACCAAACATCACATTAAAAGAATAATAATACAAAAGACAATCACTCTGAAATATGGCCTCATTTTGTCAGCTAGTGTAGATTTTAAAAGTCAGATGCTTGCATTTTACTTGTCTTCCATTACTGGCAAATTAAAGCTATGAACAAATGCTGCGTAGGCAACAAATAATTCTACTAACACGCCAACAATCACTTTAATCTCTTCCACTTAACAACTCATGAACCTTTTATGAACATAATCTTCTAGAAGGTAGCTGGTAATGCAAGATAATCCCAGTACAAGTTTAATTAAAAATACAAACTACATATAGCTCCATGCTTACCAACTCTTTCAGGCTGAAGGAGCAGGAGTGGCTATTACTAATAGCTCCGTTAATCTGGCAAACTGAAGTGCACAGGAACACGCTGGAGAAGCATTCAACAGACCATTTCCCACTGAAAAAAGAGCCCTCACAAATTCAAGCTTGCCTTAGCACAGCATTTAAACCCACCCTGCTTTAAACAGCTGAACTAAAGCTCGCTTGCAGAGTTATGGATCCTACTTTTACAAAGAAAATCCAGCACAAGATTATTTATTGTTACAGGCTACAATGGAATTAATCGGAAACTAAAAATAAAAAAGCCATTCTCCTTTAGGAAACATAGAATTTGAGTCACTTGGCTGTCAGATGGAAGTCAACATAGATTTCATTTGACTGCCAAGAACCTTATTTGACTGGACATAAAAGACATTTGCTATTTTTAAACATACCTCATGTAATCATTTAACAAGGGCCCTGTAATTCAGACCGGGGAGCTCTTTCCACATTCAAAAGCTGATCAGAGCACGGGTCTTAACAGTTCTGTTTAAGAGTTGGCTTCTTTCCAATGCATACAGTTTGCACTCCCAAGCTCCCCTAATAATCATCTGCACAGCTCTTTCCCCTTCTCCTAAACCCAGTCAGAAATATTTCCAGTTGCCTGCGAGACTCCAGAAAGCTTTTTCTGCTTACTCTGACCACAGCCACCACCTCAAACGTGTGGCAAGCAACAACCAGTCCAGGCAGGCCAACACTGGCCACTCCAGGGACAGTCGGTGGTCACGGGTGCGTGCAGCTCCTCACTGCTCTGGGAGCAATGAAATCCCAAATTTCACTCCAACAATCGAACTGTCACGAACACAGAAGTGGCACCCACCTGTGGCCCAAACCTGAATCACTTTCTCACCTCAACCACCAGCTGTGAAACTCTGCTCAGAGTCACAGAAGGAATTCTCTTTAACACAGATGAGCAAATACATCTCTGATGAACTCTCCTGACACAACAGAATGAAGTGATGTGTAGGTGAGCTGTCACATTCTTTTTGAGAAGCACATTCCCCAAACCCTTCCGTTTTCCACAGGTTTTTTTCTGTTTTCCTTTTGGATGGGGCTGTGCCATGGTGAAAAGCACTGTAAGGGCTGTTTTTCACACCAAGAAAATAGCAAGAAATCCCATGCTGGAGGAAAAAAATGCACAAGCAAGCAAAATTAAACCTTGTGATCTAACACAGCTCTGACACTTTACTGAGAACTAAAGGCATAGCAAATATTTTTGCCTCCTACAAGACAAAAATCAAATTTTAGACACAGCTGAATGAGTTACCACTACAGAGAAATGTGGGTTTCCTCAAGCTCAGGCTCATCATAAAAGCCAGATTATACAAAGGCTTTGTCCTGTCAGGAACACACTGCACTAATGGCAGCAGCCAGATGCAATTCCCCTGGATGCCCACTCCTGCAGGGATCTGGAGGGGCTGTGGCTCAGAGGCAGGACTTGCACACGTGCAGGACAAGCCCTCCAGCTGCTGCACTCTGACAGCATTAAGTGAGCTGATGCATTTCAGTATGCAGGGCTACCCCAAATGTCAGCCTCCCAGTGCTCCCTTCCTCACTAATGTGAAAGCTTCCAAGTCAGGCAGTGCTCAGTCCCCAGAGCACTCAGGGTTTGTTTTGATACCAGTGGCTTAAAAGCAAAACACAAAACCAAACCACCCAAAAATCGTGCTGTGCTATAGAGACGACACTCGCAGCCCTCCCTGACAGCCAATTTATCTGCAGCCCAAAGGCAGAGCTGATCAAGTCAGCACGTCAGGCACGTGCCACGCTCGGCAGCTCCTCCTGACAAACATTTAACATCTGCAGCCTTCTGAAACACCAGGCATTGCCACAGCTGCACAAGTCAAACTCTGCCATGGATGGCTGGCCCCTGCGGTCCCATTTCTGCAAGCAGGAACTGATGACCTGAGAACTGAGAACATCAAGGAACTAAGCAGGCAGCAATCTCCCAGGGATGCTTAAGGATGCTACTCAAATAGGTTCTGCCCGCACAAAAATCCACTCCTCTCAAAATTGAGGCATTTGCCTGAGCACTGAAGACAAGGGCTTTGCTGCTGCCAAGAGGTACTTCTAAGGTACCTTTTAAGTCTGGTGTTTTTCTGTAGCAACATAATGTGGAAAATGAACGCAGTTGGACCTCAAAAAAAACCCCAACTAGAGGGGAAGAAAATAAGTCCCAGTCAATAAATGAGGCAAAGTCATGCACATACCTAAGTACACTCATAAGAGAGGGAAACCCTCCTACCCCAGCCATTCTCCATAATAATTGTTTGTTTGAGTTTAATTTTAGAGTTTAAGGACTACTTTGGTTTTACTTGTGACACCAGCTCACTACAGCCACCACCTCTTGTCTAATCACAGCCCAGACAGAAAGGCCCACAGCAGCTCAAAAACACATCCAGGCACACAGAGAAAAGACCTGCTTGGACTTCAAACAGAAACTTTAGATCACAGAGGGATCAGTGTTTCCTGCACTGCAAGTATTAATCTCTTCTGCCTCATTTTCCTCCCTGGAGCCCGCCCTTCCTCTCCCCAGGGAAGAGAGAACACAGATTTGATTCTTCATACACCCACTGGACCACAGAGTGATTTAAAGAACCTTATTTAAATTTATTAAATGAGGTGCAAATTATGTTCCTACTGAACTGGATTCTACAGAACATATTTTTATTAAAACCAAACATGTACATAGGAAATATCCCCTGGCTTTTCCTCCGGTGGGATGACTCCACCTCCTTCCATCCTGGAAGGCTCATTCAACATTCAGAACTTCACCTTTGTGCACCTGAAAGTGAAATCCCAAGCCCTGCAGTTTCAGGAGGTAGAGAGAAGGATCCTCAGGGAGAATTTCCAATATTGACTGGGAAGGGCTTTCTGCAGGAGCCCATCAGGAACAGGAGGGACACCAAGGGCAGGACTCAGCACCAGGAACGCTCAGAGCTGTCCTGCCTCATCTTTCTGCTCCACTGAATGCACAAATACCTAAACCAAGGGCAAGATTATTCCTACAAAGCTTATTTTAAAGGCAAATTTGATCCAGGACAAGACATAAAAGAGTTCTGAAAATCACAGAAAACAGCAAACCAAAAATTTATTCCAAAACCTTTAAGGGAAAAAAAATTAATATAGCTCAAATTTGGCATCTAACAGAAGAGGCATTTAAAAAAAACAATAAGAATAATTTCCATTCAATACCAAGGAATTAGATATTCTCTACAGCTGCTGGTATGGCAAAATCCTGCTTTGCTATGGACAAGTAATACCAAATAGATACACTGGGACACACAATAACAAATGCAAAGATACAACATTCAGTTGCCATCAGAATTAGGCCTTTAAGTAAAAAAGCAAATGTCTTAAACTCAAAGGTACAGTGAGAACGTGGCGACGTGCAGTGACATGGAACAGAGAGCTCAGCGATGTTTTGATGCAAATATACCATTATATGCATATATTTTTATATATTTATGGGTTTTTTTCATTAACTGCCTGCTTTACGATCACTGCGAAAAGGAAACATCGTGTTTAACAAAGTTAAACACATTTTTAGATTAGCAGGGTAAACAGACACAGCAAATTGGCACTTTCTTGTTGCCCAACAGCTATAAAGCTCCCTGATAACGAAGTACCCTCACACCTCTCTTGTAAGCAGTGAGTAACTTGCTTACATTGCAGTTCCAACTGCAAGGAGTTCCTTGGCTCAAGGTCATGCAATGAGTTTGGCCACTTTTTGAAGTGTCTGGAGCACAATCCAAATATTGAGGTACCAGCATCTGAATTCCTGTCAGGAATTAACAACCTGGACTCTTCCCAGTCTCTCTTGTTAGCTGCTTGCACCCTGGCCCTTTATCCTGCGCAGGAATTAAAGCTATTAGCTAAGTGTAATATCCTGGGGATCTAACACAGGACACGTGTTCAGGTTCCAGCAGAACGTCCTGAACAAGGGATTCACCAGGAATCCCTCCCAGCCTTCAGTTCTCCCCACGACATCCCAGATGTTCACCAGAGCATCCCAGATGTTCACCAGAACAGGACAGCAAGGACGAGCGTGAACAACTTCTGGGGACTCCGAAGACTTGACTAAGCATACACAGAAGTAATTACATTCCACGTCTTGCCAACTCGTACTTTGGGACAAAAGCTGTGGAAGGAGTTATCTGCTGACTAATTAGCGCAGGGAAGAGCACGTTAATTGAGGCAGGGCTGCAGAGAGCAGCGAGGACCCAGAGAACCAAGCAGCAGCTCCGCTGCTCGCGCTCCAAAGAGGAGCAGTTACACAATAAAACCCAACAATGAAGGACTGAGGCTATTCAGCATGAAGACAAGCAGGAAATAAGAATCAAATGACTTTTTCCAGCCAGAAGGATGAGCAGATATGCTGTTTACAGCCTGTTTAACAAAGCCAGCTCTGGAAGGTGAGCTGTGACAGGGACTGAGACTCGGGGAAAAAGAAACATCTTCAAACACTCACATTAATCACCAAAAAACAGAACAGGGAGAATCTCAAAGTCTACAGCAGGGAAATGAGCAGAATTATGAAAAACACCTAAGCAGAGGTACAAAATAAACATGTTACAAGTCACATACATTTCCAGTGACCTGCTAAAGGACGTGTGAGATACAGGAACATGCCACTGATAAATCCAGAACCTCCCTATGAATTAGTACAATTAAAAAAAAAAACCTTCAGATCACCAGACTGTGTGCACCACTGCCTTTTCTCCTACTGCCCTTCAATAGCTCAGAACTCTGCTGGAGCATGCAAACAGCAGCCAGGACTGCTCCAGCAGAGCAGAAGAGAACCTGGATTCTGCCTCAGTTTTCTTCCAAGAGCAAGGTTTCCCTGATCAGCCACAGACAGGAGGGGCACATCAAGGAGGTAAGCCAGTTATTTCCTGGGGAGTTATTAGCTGGGCATTTGACACACAGCAATCTTTAAGTGTACAGGTAAATAGGTTTGTTGAATCATTGAGTAAAGGTTCTCATCTGAAGGGTTCATGTTGGAAGGCAAGTAACATAATTCAGTGGTTTAAGGAGCAGTCAGAGCCAGGTCTATTAAGTTTCATGAAAATGAATGACCTTAGAGACATAAATTAGATTTCCTGCATCTCACTCCCAGTTTGTAGAAACGAGGATTAAGTGTTTGAGTCTCCTGCACCAACCTCATTAGAAGATCTTTAATGGAGACACTGCATTCCTTCTTAGCCAGGCTGCACCCCTGGCACGGCAGTACCAGGCACCAAAGGACATGCACGGGGAAATTGTGTTTCCTTCCCCTAAAGCAGGGAGCACCTGCTCTGATGAACCTGTGTTCTTTCTTCATGCAAAGCCCATCTGAAGGCTCCAGCTGTCTGACACCACCATTTTTTCCTGGGTATTTCTCAGGGAAATACAACCCTTAAAGCACTAGAATTCCATGATCTACAGCACTTTCTTCTTTCATATTCATGACACTTTCCATGTAAACATATTCCAGTCCCTTGTGGATGCTGGCATCAGCAGACTACTGCCATATATGCACTTGTTTAAGAAGATTCATAATCCTTAAACACATACATTTAATAGCTTTGATATTTAGCACAAAGCTGCTGATCCCCTAACACCCTATAATGCATAGTTAATTACTAACTGAATTTGCCATTTTCTTTAAACCAGGGAATAAACTGGTTGCCAAAACAGTAAGCTTTGACAGAAACCATCATTTTCTGGTTTAATTCTCTATTTCACCACACCAAAACACTCAAGTCTAGATCATCCTGCTTTACTTTGCAATTCAACCACATAATTACTGCAGGTGCTCAGGTTTAAAACATGGTGCAGTCCTACCAGCTCCCTCCAGACCACTGTGACCTCAACAGCAGTAGAGAAAAGGACTCTCTGGCTTAGTTTTTGTTAAAACTTTAAAGCCATTAGCTAAAATGAGACCATGTGTCAGTTTGTGCAATACATGGGTGGCTATGGAACAGGCAGTGCTCAGTCTGCTGAGCCAAGCTCTGAGTGCAGGGCTGAGATGCCAGGAGCCAGAGCCACTCTGAGTGAGGTGTCCAGAGGCATTTCCTGCAGCACGGACACACAAGGGCTGCTGGACTCACCTGTCCTGCAGGGGAGGAAGGCTGGCACCTCCCACGTGCTGCACGAGCAGCACTGGCATTCGTGGGGAAAATGGCCTCAACGCACACACAGGTTCACATCAAACCACAGAAAAGCTGGGCTTCCTAAAACTTTCAACAGAGCCTTCTCATCGGCAAGAAGTTCTGCTCCTTACTGATTTTATTCATTTTTAGTACATGACAAGAGTGTTTCCCCGATGAATTTTACCAACAGCTGTAGGAGATGCCTGCTCCCAGACCAGCTGACACTACAGTGCTTCCAAAGAGCTCCAAAAAAAAAAGAAAAAAGAAGGAAAATCTGCAGGAAGATGGGCCCAGTGCCCAATAATTTGTCTGCTTCCACCCCAAACCAGTCGGCCACATGAAAAGGACCAACATAAAGGAGACACTGCTCATCACCCAGACAGAAATATTTATTAGCACTGGATGACACAACTTCCTTTCTCTTTCTTTATCCCCTTTCCTCAGAGAAAACAAACTTCCCTAATTCACCTCAGTTCCCCCCTTCCCCCCTCCCCAATTCCCTCCTCCTCTTATTTCATGCCAGTAACTTGTAGTGCATAATGAATTTCCAACCAGCCTGCCACGACAGTCATCTCAGCAATAACCAACATTCCTGAAAGTTTTGTGCAAGCCAGCAGATGGATAGGAAAAAACTCTCTAATTAATTACATCCCCAGTAAGGCATGGCCAGACAGAAAGCAGCATTTGGGCTTTTGCTTGGCAGCCAGGAGCCCGTAGGCACAGCCATGTTATTGCCCACTCAACTGTTAGGAAGGACAGTGGAAAAAAGAGGATTTCACTGGCAACAGGGATGGAGGGAGCAAACTTCAGGACTTATCAGCTCCTGTCTCCTGGGCAGAAACACTAAAACAGAACCTTCATTAGTTCTGGTGATCAGGAAAATAAATTTACAGTCCTGCCCTCACTGCCTGTACTAGAAATGATCATGGAACAGCCATCATCATAAAAGAGAAATCCTGTTACATAGCTGAAACAGGCCAAAAATTATTCTCAGTACCAGGGATTAATAATACCACGGTAACTTTTTTTTATTACAGACAAGTAGATTAAATACATAGATTAACTAAGACCTCAAAATTAATGAGCACTCATTTTCTTCCACTTATCCTGAATCTTACAATTTGAACTGGCCTCTCATTTGTGTTCTGTAGGAAGAACAAAAGACAACCTACACAGTCAGAGAATAGCCCATTTTTCAGTAACTCAATCACCAAAACTTACTCTTTAATCTATGGAATTTATGCGATACCTAAAGTGATGCACATTTTCACAACTGCACTTCTGAAATAAAATTAATGAATTAAGATGCCAAATGCAAACAGAACCCTTTCTGTCTGGAATCCACAGAAACACCAGCACCTTGACACAGTGCATTCCAAACACAGGTTTCTATGAACCCCAAAGAAAAAACGTGACCATTACCCCGGCTGGGCACAGAGGGAAAAGTGATGTTTGTGCCCTCGCTAAGTTTCACTTTTCTCTAGGTCAGGGTACAACTCAGCGAGCTAACAAACATTTGCATTAAAAAACAAAAGCGAAGCCCAGCACACAACACCTATTGAGGCAGGCACAGCCGGGCCAATATTTCGATCTGCTGCTGCTTTTCAGGCCCTGCCAGGCAGCCTCGCCCCGTGGGCTGGGAGGCACAGGGAGCCAGGGCAGCATTCAGCTCCTGTTTGCTCCTTTGTTCCCCCATCAGCCTCCTGAAAGGAGCACTTGGGCACAGGCACCACCAGCAGCACAGCCTGTGGAAAACGCTGCTGGCAAAGGCACAAAGCTGCCTTGTGGATCCTGCTCCCCCACACCTCCATCGCCCCACGGAGGGCTGGGGTTTTCTCCCCAGCAGCTGGCTGGAAAAGCCATTCCCAAATCACACCCACCTCGCCGTCTCCCTGGCACAACCAAGCAACTCCTCAGCAGCAACCTGCAAACTTCACGTCAGGCAGCTTTAAAAAAAAAAAAAGCACATTAAATAAACAGATTTCCAATCAATAGGGGGGTTGTTCTGTTATGGTTCAAAGATGGGTTTCACTTAAAAATATGCCGCGTTTTAAACCTATTGATTTAAATTTAAGCTCTGAGCTAAAATCAGAGTGAATCCTTTTAAGTGAAGCAGGACAACTTGTTTAGACTTCACGCAACTGAGACAACTGCAACGTATAGTAAAACCAGAGTGAAAAATAGCTGAACATTAAAAATAGTTAGTCTAGCCAGGATGCCACTTAAAAAAAACCCCAAATGCCAGTTCATTAGGAACTTAGAGTTGGTTGTTTTGAGTTTGTTTGGGTTTTTTAATGGTTAACTCCAACGCCAGCCACCCCTTTATAATTTATGTCCTTGCTCCCTCATCTCATTTCAGGATCACATAATAACTAATTGTTTTCCAATTGTCATTATTTTTCCAAGCAGAAATTAAGCACAATCCGGGCACTGTTCACACACCAAGAGCAAAGTGTAACCTGGCACTGAGGCTCCCCGGGTTCTCCCCAGAGCTGGGAATGAAGTCAGAGCCCCTCGGGCAAGGCAGGCTGTGAGCAGCCCTGCTGGGAGGACAAGGCACCTTCTGCAGGGCCAGAACCCCCCCACTAACACACACTCTCAATTCTGTGTGCTCCTGGCACACCTGTCCTCTCCCTCTCCCAAAAGTGAAAGGAGTTCTTCATGGGCTCCTACAGAAAGATGCATTTTGGAGCTGTGAGAATAAATTTACGGATTGAGTGTTATTTTAAAAAGTCAGTTATTAAAGCACAACATCAAAATGCCCTTTTTTCTCACCTAAGCTGCAACCAGTGTTAACAATTACAGGGTCACAGAATCTCCTGAGCTGGAAGGGACCATGGGGAACAGAGTCCAGCTCTCAGCCTTGCCCAGACACCCCAAAATCCCACCCAGTGCATCCCTGACCCTCCGTCCAACCTGACCCTTCCCTGGCACAGCTTGCTAAGTTCACAGCTTCAAAAATCACACACACACATCTCTTCAAACCCATGAATGTTGTCACTTACTCACTTTGCAGCCACAGCTCCACAGGAAGCAAACAATCCCCACCAAGGTAAAACAAACCCCTGGATGCAGAGAAATCCCTGCTTGCTCAGCCACCGGGGATGAGGGCTGAGGACAGGGCTGTCTCTCCTGATCCCACTCACCTTTCTGCCCAGGAAATCCCCCTATTTTGCACAGGAGCATCAGGAGCTTTGTCCAGGGGCAGAGTTACCCACCCCAGTCTCTGCAGAGTGCAAATTCACAGGGCACAGGAATCCCAGAGGCAAAGAGAGCTTTGCTGCACCTCCCTGACCTCACACCACAGCACTCATGCAGACAATAGCCACAGTCTGTGGCCACACCAAAGCTGGGAGGGGGAGAAAAATACCCAGAGATGTCCTCAAGCCAGAGGTAACCACCACATTTTATTCAGGTGAGGAAAATGAAGTAATATACCCCAATTACACACTGAAGTCAGCTAAAGAGTCAAAACCAAAACTCAGAGACCTCATGATTAAACTATGACAGTCACTGTTTCCTGTTTTCCGAAGGATCCAGCACACTGGCAACTTTTGCTCAACAACCACGTTATTTTTCACTCCCTTCTGCACACCTCAGCATCCCCAGCTAGGCAGCTGAGCTTTTACCATACCTCACCGACCCAACCAAAATCTCAAGCCTGCAGCTGCTCCTTTACATCCTGCTGAGGATGTAAAGCCCAGCCCAGCCCTGAGAGGAGGATGGGGCTGCACTCGGTGATCCAGGGGTGCACCCCAGCTCCAGCCACCCCACAATTCTACAGCAGCTCCGGGCCTTTCCACAGGCGCTGCTGGCAAAACAAAAGCCTGAAACAAGCACCAGGAAGGGAAACCGTGTGTACACAGGAGTCAAGCTCTGCACTTCCTCTTGCTTTTGTCACGCCGAGGCTTTAATGCGACGTGTCCTGCGCTGGCACACGCGGCTGCGGGGGCAGCCCGGGGGTGCGAGAAGCAGCTCTGCTGCCAGGCTGTCCCTGCACAGGGAAGGGAGGAAAGTTGAATGGAGCACGCCAGGCTCACCTGCGAGGCTGGGCAGGGCAGGGCAGGGCGGGGAGCACTGCCCGGCTCCCCGTGCCCCCGCTCCGCCGAGAAAGGCGCTGCCAGGCAGCGGAGCCCCGGCGGCGGCGGGCGCGCAAGAACAATGAGCTCGCAGCCCGGGCATTGTGTGCAGGCAGCTCCCGCACACGAAACCGAACGGCCAAAACCCCAAAAACCCCCCAAACCCCCAGAACAAACAGGCAGAGCAGCCCCTGGGCCAGCCGGGCACGGCCAGCAGCCCCCTCCGCCAGCCGGGGGGCAAACTCGGGCACGGGAACCAGCAGGAGACGGCTTCACCACAAGTGCTTTTATTATCACTGAAACGTTTCCACGCCTCTTAACCACCATGGGTTTCTCCATTCTAAGGGAGCTGGGTAGCAAAAGGAAAAAAATATTAAAAAAAAAAAAAAGAAAGAAACCCCAACAATGTTTGCCTGGCAATACCAGAACAACAAAAATATGTTGTATGTTGCATATTAATAAAATTTTTGACATGTTCTTTTCACGACTAATAACTACTTCTTTTGACACAGTGTTCATTTTTATCTGGTTAAACCCCACATTTTACAACAGGCACACTACCTGAATTGTCACTTCAGATCTGCTTGGAGAATGCATTTTTTACTGAATTCTAACAGGATAAACTAGTACATGAGGCTCCTCAATTCAGCTGCACGGGTGCACAAGCAAATAACACCTCCGATTTCAATAATTGGCCAATGTAAGCCAGGAGTAAACAGCCATCAGACAGCAGCCTGCTGACTGCATAAAAACCCTGAGCTCCTCATCTCCAAGAACGCTGCTGCTTCGAGGAAAAACTCAGCCTAAGAACTCAGCAAACCAAAATAACTGCAAGCAGCCTGTAAAAATAAATCTAAGGGCAGAGACACCTCAACAATGAATCATATTGTTTTCTTCCCAGCAATTTCTTGAGCAGTCAGTTTCAGCAATCAAGCCTCCAATGTTGTCTACCTCCTACTACTTTCCTGATTCTGGGCATCTTCTTTTCACGCTTTAAAAAAAAAAAAAGAAAAAAAAAAAAAAAAACGAAAAAGGAAAAAAAAAAAAAAAAAAGAAGAGAAAACCCCACCCCTTCCTATGCTACCGAAAATGTTATGATTAAATCAATTTGCATAAAATCTTCATTTCAGGATTCCATACCCACACACATGAAAGCAAGCATGCCTTTTAAACAGCTCAGCCGTCCACCCGTGTGCGCGCATTTAAACCCAATGCAAGTCGTACACCCCCTTTATTTGGACGCTTCGCAAGTTAAGCCTTTTCCCCGCGCACATTATTCCTGCGGAGCATCAGGCAGGCACGACAGACGAGCGGTAAAATAAAGAAACAATCAGAGAAAGGCGGATAAAACAAACAAATAACCCCCACGCACACGCCGCCCGGGCCCGGCGGGCAGAGACCCGCACCCCGGCGGGCAGAGACCCGCACCCCGGCGGGCAGAGACCCGCACCCCGGGAGAATCCCAGTACCCCGGCGGGCAGAGAGCCCCGTACCCCGGCGGGCAGAGAGCCCGCACCCCGGCGGGCAGAGAGCCCCGCACCCCGGCGGGCAGAGAGCCCCGCACCCCGGCGGGCAGAGAGCCCCGCACCCCGGCGGGCAGAGAGCCCCGCACCCCGGCGGGCAGAGCCCCGCACCCCGGCGGGCAGAGCCCCGCACCCCGGCGGGCAGAGACCCGCACCCCGGCGGGCAGAGACCCCGCACCCCGGCGGGCAGAGCCCCGCACCCCGGCGGGCAGAGCCCCGCCGCGCCGCCCGGTGCCCCCGCAGCCCCGGCGGGGCTCGCTCCCTCCCCGCGCTGCCCCGCGGCCTCTCCCGCCGCCGCGGCCCACCCACCTCGGCGGGCTCTACACCATCCGCGGCGGCTCCGGGGCGCTGCCGGGACAAAGCGGCGGCGGCGGCGGCGGCGGCAGCGGCGGCGGCGCGGGGGGAGCGAGCGGCGGGGAGCCTCAGCAGCGGCAGCCCAGGGGCATCTTCGCGGGGAACAAGGAGGGGACGGAGGAGGAGGAGGAGGAGGAGGAGGAGGAGGAGGAGCCGCGGCCGGTCCCGCGCTGCCCCCGCCCGCCCCGGCCCTGCCGCACGCACGCACCGCGGGCGCCCAGCAACGCCGCCGGCCGCGCGCCCCGCCAGTATCGCCGCACGCCATTGGCCGCCGCGCCGCGCCGCGCCAGCCCGCCGGCCAATGGCGGCGCGGGATGGAGGGGATTTAAACCCGAGGGGAGGCGGCGCCGCGCACAAAGGCGGCCGTGAGGGAGGGCGGCAGGGAGGGGCGGCTCGGCTCGGAGCGGCCCCGCGGGGCTCCCCTCCTTCCTTCCCTCCTTCCTTCCCTTCCTCCCTGCCTTTCCCTCCCTCCCCCTTGTTCTGCCGGCCGGTTCCATATCGCTGTCCCGGTTGTTCTGAGATGTCTTTGTCCCCCGCTGCTGCCAGCCCAGGTATCGCAATGGAATCACGAATGGCTGAGGGTAGAAAGGAGCTCTGGACCGTCGAGTCCTGCTTACGGCCCATGCCCACCCTGCCCAGGGCACTGAGTGCCACCTCCAGCGGTTCCTCGGACAGCTCCGGCCGTGGGCGCTCCAAACCCCCTGGGCAGCCCCAGCCAGTGTCCGAGCACCCTGAATGTGAGGAAATTCCGAATGTCCGGAGGTCTGGCCTGGCAGCACAGACCTTCCAGAGGTGCCACCCGAGCCTTCCCTGGTGCTGCTCAGGGGGAGACTGACAGCCGCTGCATGGTCTGGCTGGGAGGGACCTTAGATCCCATCCCCATCCCATCTCCATCCCCATCCCCATCCCATCCCACAGTTTCCCCTATCCCGGGACACTCTGAGGGATGGTCAGCCCAGTGAGGATGACTCTGGTGCCCCAGGCTGGCCCAGGACATTCCCAGGGACAGTCAGCCTGGTGAGGATGACCCCGGTGAGGATGACCCCGGTGCCCAAGGCTGGCCCAGGACACTCTCAGGGATGGTCAGCCCAGTGTGGATGACCACAGTGCCCCAGGCTGGCCCAGGACACTCTCAGGGACAATCAGCCCGGTGAGGATGACCCCGGTGCCCCTGGCCGAGCAGCCCTGCTGTGCCCACGTCCCTCTGTCCTGGATGTGTCCGACGTGCGCCGTTTGCCCCGAGCTGGCTTGTGCTCATGAATTATGAACAGCCATCAGCCCTAGGAGTGAGTGTGTGTGAAGTGTCTTCAATGGCAGGCGAGGTACAGAATTTTACGGCTCTGTCAGAAGCTCCAGCCCATCAGCACTCCGAGGTTCACACTCTGGATCAGTCACATTCAGCTGCTGTTGCTGGCCCTGCACTGAATGTTCAGATTATGCATAAGTGCTTTGCTGGATAAACAGCTGATGCTGCTTCTTGCTGCTCTGTGCAGCGAGGAAGTTGACACAACAGCAGAATTCCAAATTACTGGGTAGCAATTAATAAAACGCTTGGTCACTTAGGAGATTTTTTAAGCTTCTTCATCTCCGAGCTATCACATATTTAGACAAGATAACATGAAGGTACCAGAGCTGAAAATAGAGCAAACTTGTTATTTAACATGAACCTCACCTCTCCTCCACAGGCCAGCAAAATAAATCACATGGCTGTAAAGAAAGTCACACATTCTTCCCGGGCATCTGAGCATTTTCATGTGGAATTATATCTTCCTTCTGAAAAGGCACTCGGGTATGTCAGGGCAGATTTTGCCCTCAATTACACCGTGTAACCCCAGCTGTTTGCTGGCTCTGTAAACTGTCTCCGTGGTCGATGCCAGTGGTGCTGCAGAGATAAGTTTGAGGCTGTTATTGCCTTCAGCAGGGGGAAGTGGAACTGTTCTCACTGAAGAGAAGGGAACACACGAGGAGATCTGAGCTCGGCACATCAGAGGAATTCGCTTCTGTGCCCTGAATGTACAGGACAAATTTATCCCCAGCACAACTTCGGGGGCATTGCCACAGAGGGCGAGACACAGAGCTGATTGTGTTCTAATAACTAATTTAGATAAGGGTCTGGAAATGCACATCAGCTCAGTGGCTGACACAGCCATCTCAGAGCTGCACTTAGGCTGTCCTTGATAGAGCCTGATTCCATCTCTCCTATTTTCTGCACTAATTACAATTTCACATTCTTTGGCCTCTGGATGTCTGCATTAAAATCTCCATGAATTGCCAGGGTGGCAGGTTTGCCTTCAGCTTTTCCCAGTTGCTCTCTCTGATGGGGAATTTCTCCACAGAGCCTCTCTCCCTTTCTCTTCCTCTTTGCTCTCCTCTGCCCTGCTGAGGGAGTGGCCACACAAGGATTGGAAATGTTTACTCACAGCGTTTTGATGCCAGATTTTGTTGTTAAACAAACCCAAGCACTCTTGGGGGGGAACAGCCTCATAAATATCTGTATAAAGTGTGTATCCTAGTGCAGAGGAGGCCACCACCTTGATTAGAGGGATGGGGCACAAGGAAAGGCTGAGAGGATTGGGGTTGTTCACCCTGGAAAACAGAAGCTCTGGGGTGACCTCACTGTGGCCTTCCAGGACCTGAAGGAGCTGCAGGGAAGATAGAGAGAGAGGATTTATGAGGGCTGGAGGGACACAGGGAATGGCTTCTCACTGCTGGATGGGATTTGGGGCAGGAATTGTTCCCTGGCAGGGTGGGCATGCCTGGCACAGGTACCCAGAGCCGTAGTGGCCATCCCTGGATCCCTGGCAGTGCCCAAGGCCAGCCGGGGACAGTGGGAGGTGTCCCTGCCATGGCAGGGGTGGCATTGGATGGGCTTTGAGGTCCTTCCCAACCCAGGCCAGTCTGGGATTCTGGGACTCTGTTGTGTAATAAACATCTGTGTACCCCCCAAAATTATTCCCAGCCCGTCCTAGCAGGTGAAGCCACATCCTTACCCCACTAACAAGTGACCCAATTATGAGTTTGGTTCATAGCCAGGGGATTGCTGCAGGAATAGCACTTGAAGCTGCTGCTTCTTTTGGGTTAGATTTTATTTTTTTTTTCCCAAAGATGCAGCTCTCCCTATGGACAATAATAAACAAAGCCACAGAGCTTGTCCCATAATCTTCTCCCAGCTAAAGCCACGGGGTTTAGTTAACACAAGGAAGATCAAGGAACCCCCAAATGCTGCTGAGGGAGACCTTTGTTCCTCCATGTGGTCACTGCAGATTTTCGTGGTTCACACCCAAGAGGAGAGAGGTCGCTGGTGGGATGAGAGGGCACGTTCTGTGTTCTGTGTGTGGAATATTTGATGTTCATGCAGATTGTCCCTGTGAGACCCTGGCAGGCTCTGGCAAGGCAGAGTGTGACTGGGTGTTTGTGCCTCTGTCTCCCAGCTCCTGGGAGGTGGCAATGCTGACACAGAGAAAGCCTGACTGGCCAAATCCACAGAGACACCTGAGCTGCAGCATGCCACATGAGGTGGGGTACCCCACAGGCTGTTCATCCTCACATTCCTGCTCCTTAGCCCGGATATCTGTGAGGATCTGAGCAGCAGAGTTTCTGCTGAGTGCCCTGGCTCCCGTCCTGCCCTTCCCCTGCCCCTTCCCTTCCCCTTTCCCTGCCCCTGCCCTGCTTGTTTCCCCATCTCCCACACCTCCAGGGCTTAGGAGCTTCAGTCACAGAGTTCAGCTCCCCTGGGCACCCCCAGATCCACTGAGGCAAGGAAGCATCAGGAGCTTCAAAATTTTACTGTTGTTGTGGTGGTGGTGTTGTCATGGAAAAACCACACCACGATTCACCTGTTGTCATTCCATCTCCTCCATTTCAGGGGAACAAAACCAAACAGTGGCCAAAGTCCACTGAGTGGTTCTTTCTGCCTTTGCCAACCCTTTTATCTGACATCCATATGCCAATGTATGTGGTGTACTTAACTTTAAAAAATTATCTCTTTGCAAATCTGTTTTAACGTGGCTCTTTTTAAAATAACTGACATTTTGCCAACTTATTGAAACAAAAATCTATGAGAAAAAAAATCTAACTAGGAACTATGAAGTCAAAACGCACCAATACCGAGAATTTTGTGAACACCATTTCAGCTCAACTAGTTAAAATAATGGAGGGTTTTTTGGTTTTTAATTCTCCTTATGAATTTCAGTCATGAAATTACAAACCAGTCCTTGGCCATGACAGATGAGTCAGGTTGTAACCTCAGCAATGCAGTAAAAACTCAGCTCTAATGAAACAGGCAAATGTCAATACAGCGATTAGCTCGGGAGATAATATTCTGAGAGGCTTTTACAGATGACCTAACGCCACTCACAAAAAAGGATTATATTCTTTCTTTCCCTTTGTGATATATGAATACCAGCCCTTTAGCTGAAAACTGTTTGCTTTGGGGGGTTTTCTGCTTTGTTTTGTTTACTGTAGAAATCTCAGGAATTTAAAATCTCATTTCCACAGATATTAGCAGGGAATTTTTGGAAGGCTCATCCCACTTGGAGGCCAGTGCTCTGGGTATGTGTGAACTCCTCCTGGACACAGAGAGCTCTGCCTAGATGGGCTGCAGTGGGAGCAGAAGTCACAGAAATGAGATTTAAATCAGTCTGGGCATACTCACACCCGCTGGAGGGAGCAGCAGGCGCCAGGGGCTCAGCAGAAGCTGCAAGAGCCCGGTGCTCTTCTTCCTGAGCTGATGCAACTTCTGGGAGGCTGGAGGAACAAGTTCCCAAAAGGACGGGCTGAGCTGGCAGGTACCGTGGCACAGCCACTCCTGTGTCCCTCTGGGACAGGGAGAAGCTCCTGGGGCTGCCCCGGGGTGGGAATGGGATCAGGGAGCTGCTCCCAGCCAGCCCCACCTCGGGGCTCCTGCAGATCCCTGAGCATCCTCAGCCACCTTCAGTGCAGCTCCTGCCCCCTGAAGGTGTTCTGCCTCTGTGTTAGCTCAGTCCTGCTTTGCCAGGACGTTTGGAAGGCATGGGTCACAGAAGCATTCAGGAAAAGCCCTCTGACATCAGCCAGTCCAACCATTAACCCTGCCCAGTGCACCACCAAACCCTGGCCCTACACACCTCCCAAATACCTCAGGAATTCAGAGGAAAAGCTCCATTTCCTGCGTGACCATTCTCAGGTTTCTAACACACAGCCCATACAACCAAGAAATTTCTGGTTTAATATTTTGAATATTTTAAATCCCAGAAATGTAAAATGTTATAAATTAGTTTCCTCATTAAATTAAAAAAAATTTAAAACCTTTTTATCTTTTAAAGGTTTCCAATTTCCCTGACTCAGACCATTTCCTAGTGGGTTCTGCATAATGAATATTAGCAGAGGTT